CGTGTGTTAACATTGCCAAAGCAAGTGAAGTAGATAGTAAACAAAAGTATATATATATATACAGTCATGGCCAAAATTGTTGGCACCCCTGAAATTTTTCCAGAAAATGAAGTATTTCTCACAGAAAAGTATTGAAATTACACATGTTTTGCTATGCACATGTTTATTTCCTTTGTGTGTATTGGAATAACACAAAAAAAAACAGGAAAAAAGCAAATTTGACATAATTTCACACAAAACTAAAAAAATGGGCCGGACAAAGTTATTGGCACCCTTTCAAAATTGTGGATAAATAAGTTTGTTCCAAGCATGTGATGCTCCTTTAAACTCACCTGTGGCAAGTAACAGGTGTGGGCAATCTAAAAATCACACCTGAAAGCAGATAAAAAGGAGAGAAGTTGACTCAGTCTTTGCATTGTGTTTCTGTGTGTGCCACACTAAGCATGGAGAACAGAAAGAGGAAAAGAGAACTGTCTGAGGACTTGAGAACCAAAATTGTGGAAAAATATCAACAATCTCAAGGTTACAAGTCCATCTCCAGAGATCTAGATGTTCCTTTGTCCACAGTGCGCAACATGATCAAGAAGTTTGCAAACCCATGGCACTGTAGCTAATCTCCCTGGACGTGGACGGAAGAGAAAAATTGATGAAAGGTTGCAACGCAGGATAGTCCGGATGGTGGATAAGCAGCCCCAAACAAGTTCCAAAGAAATTCAAGCTGTCCTGCAGGCTCAGGGTGCATCAGTGTCAGCGCGAACTATACGTCGAAATTTGAATGAAATAAAACGCTATGGCAGGAGACCCAGGAGGACCCCACTGCTGACACAGAGACATAAAAAAGCAAGACTACAGTTTGCCAAAATGTACATGAGTAAGCCAAATTCCTTCTGGGAGAACGTCTTATGGACAGATGAGACCAAGATAGAGCTTTTTGGTAAAGCACATCGTTCTACTGTTTACCGAAAATGTAATGAAGCCTTCAAAGAAAAGAACACAGTACCTACAGTCAAATATGGTGGAGGTTCAAAGATGTTTTGGGGTTGTTTTGCTGCCTCTGGCACTGGGTGCCTTGACTGTGTGCAAGGCATCATGAAATCTGAGGATTACCAAAGGATTTTGGGTCGCAATGTAGGGCCCAGTGTCAGAAAGCTGGGTTTGCGTCCGAGATCATGGGTCTTCCAGCAGGACAATGACCCCAAACATACTTCAAAAAGCACCCAGAAATGGATGGCAACAAAGCGCTGGAGAGTTCTGAAGTGGCCAGCAATGAGTCCAGATCTTAATCCCATTGAACACCTGTGGAGAGATCTTAAAATTGCTGTTGGGAAAAGGCACCCATCCAATATGAGAGACCTGGAGCAGTTTGCAAAAGAAGAGTGGTCCAACATTCCGGGTGAGAGGTGTAAGAAGCTTATTGATGGTTATAGGAAGCGACTGATTTCAGTTATTTTTTCCAAAGGGTGTGCAACTAAATATTAAGTTAAGGGTGCCAATCATTTTGTCCGGCCCATTTTTTGAGTTTTGTGTGAAATTATGTCAAATTTGCTTTTTTCCTGTTTTTTTTGTGTTATTCCAATACACACAAAGGAAATAAACATGTGCATAGCAAAACATGTGTAATTTCAATACTTTTCTGTGAGAAATACTTCATTTTCTGGAAAAATTTCAGGGGTGCCAACAATTTTGGCCATGACTGTATATACTCTCTCTCTCTCTCTCTCTCTGTATATATATATATATATATATATATATATATATCTATATATATCTCTGTCTCTGTCTCTCTCTCTCTCTCTCTCTCTCTCTCTCTCTCTCTCTCTCTCTCTCCCTCTGTCTCTTCTATCTGCAGGTGTGGACTCAGCAGTTTACAGCATCATCAGCCTGGCCCAGGACCTTAGCCAACTCCAGAGCAGCAGAGAGGACTAGTAACTGTGCTGACCAGCTCTAACATACATAACAGGTCACTGCTGTTAAAGAGCCTGACCAACACTTAGGTTTTTTCTCTGGGCAAATAAATGGTAGAGGCATTGTGTAGAGCAATATGTACTGTGTACAGCAATGTGTCTCCTCCAAGATACAGGTTCAGTCAGGGACAACACATTGTTATATGTGATGTAAATACCACATACTTGGATAGAAAATGACCAACCTAGACACAATACTTATTTTTTACCCTCTTGTCATGCATATATCTCGCCTCCTAAATTTACAAACACACGAATATACACCACTTAGCTCTATATGCTTTGGAAAATGCTCCGTATTTGACGCTTGTTTCCAAGCAGCTCTCTAGTAAGGATACTGAAGGCTGTAACAGGACTGTATAATGCAACAGGGCTGTAACATGGTTGTAACAGGGTTGTAACAGGGCTGTAACATGGTTATAACAGGGCTTTAACAGGGTTGTAACAGGGCTGTAACGGGGTTGTAACAGGGTTGTAACAGGGTTGTAACAGGGCTTTAACAGGGTTGTAACAGGGTTGTAACAGGGCTTTAACAGGGTTGTAACAGGGCTTTAACAGGGTTGTAACAGGGTTGTAACAGGGCTTTAACAGGGTTGTAACAGGGTTGTAACAGGGCTTTAACAGGGTTGTAACAGGGTTGTAACAGGGCTTTAACAGGGTTGTAACAGGGTTGTAACAGGGCTGTAACAGGGTTGTAACAGGGTTGTAACATGGTTATAACAGGGTTGTAACAGGGTTGTAACAGGGTTGTAACAGGGCTGTAACAGGGTTGTAACATGGTTATAACAGGGTTGTAACAGGGTTGCAACAGGGCTGTAACATGGCTTTAACAGGGCTTTAACAGGGTTGTAACAGGGTTGTAACAGGGCTGTAACAGGGTTGTAACATGGTTATAACAGGGTTGTAACAGGGCTGTAACATGGTTATAACAGGGCTTTAACAGGGTTGTAACAGGGCTGTAACAGGGTTGTAACAGGGCCATAACAGGGCTTTAACAGGGCTGTAACATGGTTGCAACAGGGTTGTAACAGGGCTTTAACAGGGTTGTAACAGGGTTGTAACAGGGCTTAGACAGGGTTGTAACAGGGTTGTAACAGGGCTTTAACAGGGTTGTAACATGGCTGTAACAGGGCTTTAACAGGGCTTTAACAGGGTTGTAACAGGGCTTTAACAGGGTTGTAACAGGGTTGTAACAGGGCTTTAACAGGGTTGTAACAGGGCTGTAACAGGGTTGTAACATGGTTATAACAGGGTTGTAACAGGGTTGTATAATGCAGCAGGCAGATAGAGCTCAGGTAGTCCAGATGCCACAGCCCCTCCTCTCTCTCTCTCTTCCTAGTGCAGCAGCAGCAGATATACAAGTCATTAGTGGTGAAAAGTATTAGTGCAGACAAAACTGGGTCAGAACAGTGTAGAACACACAACCAGCGTATTGGTGCTGGTGATGAGGGGGGTTGTGTGTGTGTGTGTGTGTGGGGAGAAAGCTGTTGTAGGAGAGAGGATATTATTGTACTGTACATAATCATCCCGAGTAAATAACATGGAGGTCAGTATTGTCAATCACCCCTGCAGGTCTCCTTAGTCAAATAATAACATGGAGGTCAGTATTGTCAATCACCCCTGCAGGTCTCCATAGTCAAATAATAACATGGAGGTCAGTATTGTCAATCACCCCTGCAGGTCTCCATAGTCAAATAATAACATGGAGGTCAGTAATGTCAATCACCCCTGCAGGTCTCCTTAGTCAAATAATAACATGGAGGTCAGTATTGTCAATCACCCCTGCAGGTCTCCATAGTCAAATAATAACATGGAGGTCAGTATTGTCAATCACCCCTGCAGGTCTCCATAGTCAAATAATAACATGGAGGTCAGTATTGTCAATCACCCCTGCAGGTCTCCATAGTAATTTAGCAGACACTTTTATCAAAAGGTATTCACAGTTCACAGTGACATTGTGATACATTCAGAATATGTGTGGCAAAATACAGTCTGTGTGGAAATCTCTCTCTCTCTCTCTCTCTCTCTCTCTCTCTCTCTCTCTCTCTCTCTCTCTCTCTCTCTCTCCTCTCTCTCTCTCTCTCTCTCTCCTCTCTCTCTCTCTCTCTCTCTCTCTCTCTCTTTCTCTGACAGCAGAGTGGGGGATGGTCGGGCGGCAGCGGCTTGTCTGTCTGTTCCTCACATCTGGCTACCTAAAGGTGATCCTGATAGCGTCTGATAATCCAACAGCGATACAGCAACCCTCAGCAATGTTTTCACCAAATACTGCTGGGTCCTGTTAGGGGACTGTTGTTGTGTTTCTTTCAACGCAACACATCAAGACTATAGACACCACATCGACTATAGACACCACATCGACTATAGACAACACATCAAGACTATAGACACCACATCAATACTATAGACACCACATCGACTATAGACACCACATCAAGACTATAGACACCACATCAATACTATAGACACCACATCAAGACTATAGACAACACATCAAGACTATATACACCACATCAAGACTATAGACACCACATCAAGACTATAGACACCACATCAAGACTATAGACACCACATCAAGACTATAGACACCATTTAAAAGCTATTAACCTGTAATAAACTGTGTAAAAGAAGGGCCAACAAACAGGTTACATAGGCTCAGGATAGACAGTATGGTCACCTAACGGTATATGGATTGTCCAAGGGTTAGACGTTCCAGTGCAGGTCTGCAGGATACCATACAACTCAATGCCATTAAAGAGGTGACCACTTCCTGAAATAGAGATGTAAACAATGTGTAACACGTGAGAAAACAGTAAGCATCATCTGCTGTAGCATATCTCTCCAGCCTGACTTAGATAGTACAAATCGTATAGAATGGCTCCAGAGACTAGCCATCATCAGCATACAGATAAGACTGCTTTGTTTTGCACAGCAAGCACACCATTTCAGGAGTTCATGTAGACAAGGCAGACAGTTTAAGAGAAAGGACAGGGTAGGACAGGCAGACAGTGTAAGAGAAAGGACAGGGTAGGACAGGCAGACAGTGTAAGAGAAAGGACAGGGTAGGACAGGCAGACAGTTTAAGAGAAAGGACAGGGTAGGACAGGCAGACAGTGTAAGAGAAAGGACAGGGTAGGACAGGCAGACAGTTTAAGAGAAAGGACAGGGTAGGACAGGCAGACAGTTTAAGAGAAAGAACAGGGTAGGACAGGCAGACAGTGTAAGAGAAAGACCAGGGTAGGACAGGCAGACAGTTTAAGAGAAAGGACAGGGTAGGACAGGCAGACAGACAGTGTAAGAGAAAGACCAGGGTAGGACAGGCAGACAGTTTAAGAGAAAGGACAGGGTAGGACAGGCAGATAGTGTAAGAGAAAGGACAGGGTAGGACAGGCAGACAGTGTAAGAGAAAGGACAGGGTAGGACAGGCAGACAGTTTAAGAGAAAGGACAGGGTAGGACAGGCAGACAGTTTAAGAGAAAGGACAGGGTAGGACAGGCAGACAGTTTAAGAGAAAGGACAGGGTAGGACAGGCCGACAGTGTAAGAGAAAGGACAGGGTAGGACAGGCAGACAGTTTAAGAGAAAGGACAGGGTAGGACAGGCAGACAGTTTAAGAGAAAGGACAGGGTAGGACAGGCAGACAGTGTAAGAGAAAGGACAGGGTAGGACAGGCAGACAGTGTCAGAGAAAGGACAGGGTAGGACAGGCAAACAGTGTAAGAGAAAGGACAGGGTAGGACAGGCAGACAGTTTAAGAGAAAGGACAGGGTAGGACAGGCAGACAGTGTAAGAGAAAGGACAGGGTAGGACAGGCAAACAGTTTAAGAGAAAGGACAGGGTAGGACAGGCAGACAGTGTAAGAGAAAGGACAGGGTAGGACAGGCAGACAGTGTAAGAGAAAGACCAGGGTAGGACAGGCAGACAGTGTAAGAGAAAGGACAGGGTAGGACAGGCAGACAGTTTAAGAGAAAGGACAGGGTAGGACAGGCAGACAGTTTAAGAGAAAGGACAGGGTAGGACAGGCAGACAGTTTAAGAGAAAGGACAGGGTAGGACAGGCAGACAGTGTAAGAGAAAGGACAGGGTAGGACAGGCAGACAGTGTAAGAGACAGGACAGGGTAGGACAGGCAGACAGTGTAAGAGAACGGACAGGGTAGGACAGGCAGACAGTGTAAGAGAAAGACCAGGGTAGGACAGGCAGACAGTGTAAGAGAAAGACCAGGGTAGGACAGGCAGACAGTGTAAGAGAAAGACCAGGGTAGGACAGGCAGACAGTTTAAAAGAAAGGACAGGGTAGGACAGGCAGACAGTGTAAGAGAAAGACCAGGGTAGGACAGGCAGACAGTGTAAGAGAAAGACCAGGGTAGGACAGGTAGACAGTTTAAAAGAAAGGACAGGGTAGGACAGGCAGACCAGACGGGTTGCTGGGAGGATGACATGGTACCATACGGAGACATGGGCACAGAGAGTGGGGCAGCCAGGGTCCAGCCATGCATAACCATGCAGCCCTGCTCAGCTATGCCCCCTGTCCAGGTTTGAACTGTTGCTCTCTAAAGGCTGGTGCCCCCTTAGAGAGCCAATCAACCAACCAGGCTACCTAATCAAAAGAGAACCATGGCTTTCTCCCAGAAGCTTGGCTGGTGCGTAAAACCCGCTAATTCAGACAAACAAACAGGTAGAATGGGTTTGCGCTCAAGAATATGTCGCATAAAGCTGTCCCTGATGCAATAAAACATTTAAAATGTTGAATAATGAAGTAAGCTTTATGCTACCCATGGTTACCCCCATAGACACAGAAGGCAGGACATATGTCAAGCCCGGTCATGCACACACCCACAGGAAATGGTGCTGAGGTACTGCTCTTCCTGTCTCTTGCTCCTCTAGGATCCTCACAGCGTTTAATCTATGCACACCCTCACTCTCTAATGTTTAATCTACACACACCCTCACTCTCTAATGTTTAAGCTACGCACACAATCTTCCTCTTAATCCACACATTAACTCTCATTCCTAATCTACACATTCTTTTAAAGTACGTTTAATCCACACACACCCACACTCACTTACTCTTCCTAATCTACACACTCATCAAACTCAATCAGAAGAGGTTGGTTCATCTAAGGGACATTTGCCTGAAGCAGATAGACTCTTTCCCACAATCCCCCTCTACCCCTGAGCCTTAGGAGACTTTAAAGCTGTCCTCTCCTCTATATTTAAAGCCCCCCTTTCCTCGTCCCCAGACTGCTACTTCTGCCCTTTAATTATTCCAGCCAGCTCAGACCTGTACTACCCAGACATCAGCCCATGTATTAACACTACGGTTCATATGGGAATGTCGCTTTCAGGAACTGTGAGAAAACCAACCAATAGCCTTGAGCAGCCTTTCTTAAAGTATAGGTCGTGACCCAAAGTGGGTCGCGGACCTGTTAATGGTGGGTCGCGACGTGTCAGAGTAAATGTATAATTATTTAATTGATTACTGGAATTGATTTGGCCAAGTGCAACTGCGCTCACTGTTAAGGACTCTCTCCGCTTAGCAGCGGCCTCTGCTCAGTTTGGCAGCTCCGCGAGTGGGAGAGGGAGATGCCCGCAACCCACAAGCTGCAGCGCTGTCGTTCAGCAGCAGATGATGCGCTGTCAGCCACTGACTTGTCATTCCCATCACTCACCACTGTCATCAAATGGACTCAAGCTAGCCACACGTTCTGACTGAGGCTCAATCGTCATGAAACGCAAAATACAGCGATGAGTTTCCCTCTCTTGGTTTCATACAAACTTTGAGAAATAACGAGGAGCGCCCACAATGTGTTTTGTGCGGGGAAGTGCTCTGTAATGAGTCTCTCAAAATGAACAAATTAATAAAACGACACGTCCTGACCAAACATCCACAGCATGACGGTAAACCCAGGGAGTTATTTCAGAACAGGGCAGAACGCTTCAGGAAACAGTGCTTCGACAGTGGAAAAGCAAGTCAGCTAGCAAGGCATTGTTGTCATTTTATAACAGGTGATGATGAGCAGAAATAATGGAGTACTATCTCTCATGGTAGTAGATGTGGGTTTCTCTTTCAAACAATCCCCTGGCCTTGTCCACAACTAAAAGCTAATGTTAGCCAAACAAGCTAGCTAGCTACTGATGCAACCCTTAGTAACAGTACAGATGAAGATGAAAAATGATCAGGCCTACTGTACATATTACTGTAGAAATTATTGTTGAAAACAAGTCTAGATTGGAACTGTTGCTGTTAAAATCTACAGCTCATCTACAGCAGGAAGTGGTCTCCTGCCTGACTGAGAAAGTATGTTCTTATCCAGTTTGGCACCACAAACCTATGCGAGACAAAAACAACTCTATGCTGAGCATGACCTCAGTGTTGCACGGTCAAAAACTGAGCCCAGAATAGACATGCTTGTTGAAAACTTCAACCTGTGTGATTTGATCAATCCGTTTTTCCAGTTCAGAATAACAAATACTGATTGTATTTTAACAGAAACAGTTCCAAACTAGACTTTTTTTTCAACAATACTTTCTACAGTAAGATGTACAGAAGGTCTGATCATTTTTCATCTGTACTGTTAGGGTTGCACTATCAAAAACTGAGCCTGTGTGTGTGTGTGTGTGTGTGTGTGTGTGTGTGTGTGTGTGTGTGTGTGTGTGTGGGTGGGTGTGGGTGTGGGTGTGTGTGGGTGTGGGTGTGTGTGTGTGTGTGTGTGTGTGTGTGTGTGTTGTGTTATATATCTATGTGATGTGATCAATCAGTTTATTGCAGTTCAGAATGAAAATTATTTATTGTATTTTAACAGCAACAGTTCCAACCTAGACAGATATGTAAGAGTGTTTTTAATGGGGGAAAAATAAACATGATTAGCTATTTATATGGGTATTTCATTTCATTGTTATTTGTTTTAGTCTATATTGCAATTATTTTAGGCATAAGGGCAATGAAATGTACCAATATTTATGTATAGTTGCATATTTTCATAAGCTTGGGTCCCAGGAAAACACTGAATTTCTCATTTGGGTCCCAGGAAAACATAGAATTTCTAATTTGGGTCCCAGGCTGAAAAGGCTTAAGAACCCCTGGCTTAGACAGCTTTAAGAAACTGATTTTGAAATGTAAATCCAGTGTCTGGATCTAGTCAAAGGGACAGGTTTGGTTGTCTTCTCTTGAACACAGAACAACTTCCACTGTTACTATGCATATCAGAAACTCCAGAAACTCCAATGCTTTCAGAAAACAAACCAAAAACAAACCTATAGCCTCGAGCTGAGAGCTCAGAGGAAGTGATTTTGAAAAAGAGAATAACATATTTCTGACCCACGTCATAATCCGTTTTCCCACAGGTTACAAACAAACAAAACAGCAGACTAAACCAACAGAGAAACCAACTCCAATTATCAGCATACAAGCACAGAACAGTAGTGAGTGAGTTAACCAGAGACACAACCATAACCATTAAAACAGCTGTGAAGAATAAACCATACTACCGCTAGTACTAGTACGTGTAGAACAGAAAGCAGCATACACAGTACCACACCACTAGATCTGAGAGATACACAGTACCACACCACTAGATCTGAGAGATACACAGTACCACACCACTAGATCTGAGAGATACACAGTACCACACCACTAGATCTGAGAGATACACAGTACCACACCACTAGATCTGAGAGATACACAGTACCACACCACTAGATCTGAGAGATACACAGTACCACACCACTAGATCTGAGAGATACACAGTACCACACCACTAGATCTGAGAGATACACAGTACCATACAGTACCTCTATATCTGAGAGATACACAGCCCAACATTACCCATACAGTAACCTCTAGATCTGAGAGGCACACAGCCCAAACAGTACCATACAGTACCTCTATATCTGAGAGATACACAGCCCAAACAGTACCATACAGTACCTCTATATCTGAGAGATACACAGCCCAAACAGTACCATACAGTACCTCTATATCTGAGAGATACACAGCCCAAACAGTACCATACAGTACCTCTATATCTGAGAGATACACAGC